AGTGTGAATAGTCCTCCTACAACTACACTTCTCTCATTTTTTGATTTGTGTAAAGTGGATGACTTTGCGAAAAATTTGCTTTACCCAGAAGTTCCTGCATATTACGTTTGGGACAAAAAAAAGTTCCAAAGAAGGAAGAGAGGAGTAAACGTTGTTGGCTGGCCAGATATCAAAAGAGAGCACGCTCTGGGTAGAGTTTATACGGTTCATCCAAACAATACAGAATGTTATCACCTTCGTATGCTTCTCCATGAAATCCGGGGCCCGATTTCGTTTGAAGCGTTGAAAACTGTAAATGGTCAAGTATATCCCACTTTTAAATCCACGTGTAAGGCTCTAGGGTTACTTGAAGATGATGAACATTTGTACACAGCACTAGAAGAGGCAGCACTTTGCCTATCTCCGCATATGATACGGGATCTATTTACGATTATATTAGTGTTCTGCCAAGTAACAGATCCCTTATATCTTTGGGACAAATTCAAAGAATACCTATCTGAAGATTTTAAAAAACGATTAGAACGACAGGATTCCGAGGATGCAGAACACTTAGCGGACGTAGCGTTGAACAAATGCTTATCGGTAATAGAAGATTCCGTGTTAGCATTAGGTGGTTAGCCACTTAAAGAATTTGGCTTACCTCAGCCAAGCAAATCTGAACAATTTGATAATAGAGAGTATCTCAAGAAAACAAGTTATGACTTAGTAGCCTTAGAAGACGTCGTAAGAAACAATGAAGAATCTCTGAATGACGAACAAAAGTTTGCTTACAATCAAATTATTACAAGTGTTAATAATAATGAGGGTCGAATATACTTTTTAGATGCTCCAGGTGGAACTGGAAAAACTTTCTTAATCAATTTGATTTTAGCGAAAGTTAGAAGTACTCGCGACATTGCCTTAGCTGTAGCATCTTCTGGAATCGCAGCAACACTGCTCGAGGGTGGTCGAACGGCCCATGCTACCTTCAAATTACCACTCAATCTAACAACTTCGGCCACTCCTTTTTGTAATATATCAAAACAAAGTAATTTTGCGGAAGTTTTAAAAGATACAAAATTAATAGTGTGGGACGAAATTACAATGGCGCATAAGGGTGGTGTTGAGGCTTTAAATAGATCTCTAAAGGATATAAGGGAAAATAAAAGGTTAATGGGTGGTGTAACGGTTTTACTGGCTGGAGACTTTAGGCAGACTCTACCAGTAGTACCAAAAGGAACCAGAACTGATGAAGTCTAGTCATGTCTTAAAAGACCTACTTTATGGCCTAAGATTAATATACTCAAACTGTCAAAAAATATGAGGGTACACTTGGGAGAGGAAAAGTTTGCTGGTGGATTTTCAGATCTTTTACTTGAAATTGGCAATGGTGATTATCCATCGTTTGATAAAATGATAACTATCCCAGAAAATTTGTGTACAGTTATAACTACGGTTCAGGATTTAATATCAACAATTTATCCAGATATTGCTCATATTCATGATAAGCCTATGGAATGGTTGTGTGAACGTGCTGTACTCACTCCAAAAAAATGACCAAGCGGCGGCTATCAATGATACACTGCTGATGTCTTTTGAAGGGGAAGAAAAAGTATATACTTCTATAGATATGGTGGTTAACATGGACGATGCAACTAATTATCCGGTTGAATTTTTAAATTCATTGAAACCACCAGGCATGCCATATCATAGGCTTATTCTGCGTGTGGGCACACCTATTATATTGTTGCGAAATTTGAAACCGCCTAAACTGTGCAATGGGACCAGGCTTAAAGTCAAAGCTTTACATCGCAATATAGTTGAAGCCACAATTTTAACAGGATGTGCAAAAGGGGAAACTGTGTTTGTACCACGAATCCCTTTAATTCCGAATGATCATCCGTTCGAATTTAAACGATTACAGTTTCCCCTGAAAGTCTGTTTTGCAATGACTATAAACAAGTCTCAAGGCCAGACTCTTGAATTTGCAGGAATAGATTTTCGAGAAAACTATTTTTCACATGGGCAGTTCTACGTAGCTTGCTCACGCTTAAGCTCACCCAGTAGCTTAGTGATTTTGTCGCCTACTAATAGATCAGTGAAGAACATTGTCTACAAAGAAGTTTTGTAGATAACATATTGAAAAACTATTAGTAAAACATTTATTTTGAACCTTTAGTGCTAAAATTTATCGTAAACAAAGCTTCTGCCGCCAAAAGCTATAACTTATCGAATAGGTTATGATAATAATCATTATCTTAAAAACTAAATTAATATGTATAAAATATTATTTCAAAAATCTTAATTAATTTAAATTTTGTAATTACAATTACTGAAGACGTCTGGGGTGTTTATTAGCATATGCATCAACTACTTCTTCAGGTTTTATAATTATTTCAGGGTGTATATTAAGGTGTATTCAGGGTGTATACAATGGTAATCCGTTAAATCGATGGTATCATATTATCATGATATATTGATATTCCAGTATTTCACCGTGTGCCTGTGCGTGAAAAAGGGCCTACAATAATAAATAAAGTATAAAATACGGTGAATGGGGGGAGGGGGAACGGGCTCCATGGGCAAATCTCGTAAATACGTCCTTGATTATAATCATTATTATCAATAGGTACCTAGGTGTTTAATGTTTATTGTAGTAATGTAGTGTACCATTAAGCAGTATTTATAAATAATGTACAACATTTAATGATAGTTAATCACTAAAATGTTACAGAAAAAAAAAATGAAAATGCTCTGTACGTATCAGGATGAATACAGAATACATAAAAAAATATTTTAAGTTAACAATATTGTTTTCCATATAATATTAATTTGATAATTTTCATTATTTTATAATCAGTTACGGCTTTACGGGTTCCAAGAGTGAAGTAATAACTATTCAGCGTATTAGTTACTTGTGTATACTAAAATCAAATACCTACTGTATTTGGAACTTCCATAGAAAAATAAGAAATTAAGTTTAAAAATACCAAAAATATTTTCCCGACATGAAAATACAAATAAAATGACATACCTATCAAGAAATAATATTTACTTATTAATAATACACGAATTGTGATTATGAATACAAAATCTATATGTATAAAAGAAACTCAGGTTATTTACAGAATTTATAATTCAAGGACGACTGGACCGATTTCGATGATCTTTGATTTGTTGGATTCATCTCCGTACAAGAATAAAAATAACTCTATCTTGGCAAGAATACAGACAATTATCTAGATAAGTAAAAATTTTATCTTAGATAAGTAATTAGATAACTTAGCGTTATTTATCTAGATAAAATAAAAGATGACAAAAAATCTATCTAGATAAGTCCCAACACTGCTTATTATTACATATAGTTGGGAAGTGACATTTTTAATTACGTAATATATTATTTTTAACAAAAATACTAAAATTATATTAATTTGGTGTTAATTAACACAAACATTTAAAAAATATTTGTCTCTTTTTTGATTATTTCTTTGTAATGATTAATATCACCTGTGTAAGCTATAATTTCTTATTTTTAAATTATTTAATTTTTAAACCAATTTTAATCTTACAACTCAATAAAGCTACATATTGACACAAAATGATTAGTGTAACTATTTTTAAATCTAAGTCCTTGTCTCCAATATCTATTTTTTTCATCTACAGTCATCAACAAATCCAGATTTGCTCGTTTGATTTGGTTTCCTTTTTCCTTGTACAAATTGATGCATACATTTTTAATTTAAAGGATTTATAATTGTAAAACAGTTAGACGAATCTATGGACCATATATTGATTCTGACACTGGAGAATGGAGGATACGCCACAATGATGAACTGAAGAACTTGTTTCAAAAATCAGATATTATATCCGAAATTAATAGGAGAAGATTAATGTGGGCTGGATGTGTCTGGAGGAAAGAGGGCTCTTTGATTAAGGCGGTTATTAAAGAAAATCCAACTGGAAAAAGACCGTTAGGAAGACCGCGTTTACGATGGAAGGATCGTATCAAAAAGGATGTTAAAGCAGTAGAACCAAATACACAATGGAGAGAAGCTGCAGAGGATAGGAAAAGATGGCGGCAAACTTCTTTGCAGGGATGGTCTTGAAAGCTGTAACCCACAAGAAGAAGAAGAAGAAAATAGTTAGACGAACTAATCATTTTGTTGAATTTTTTTAGATATATATTAATAAGTTATTGAATTACTTATTTAAGTAATATATTGTGCTAATTTATTTGTTTATACATTGTTTAAATAATTTTAGTAACCATTTGTTATGTTAAAATAGTATTTATAATTTAATACTATTTTGTTTATATTTTTACAAAGGACCGTAACTTGTTTCAGGTTCAGAAGTGCAGTTTACAGTTATGTACTGTTTCATTTTACTAAGAAAGTTAATTTACATTAATTTGCCATTGTCTTTTGCGTAAAATGAAATGGTAGTAATTCTGGACTGTTGTCATAAAGGTCATAAACTCATAACAAGGTTCAAACTAATGTCACCACTGCCTAATTTTGCTTAATCACATTCATTAATACATTTTAAAAACATACCTATAATAATTAATGAAATCCTAAACAATAGTAAAATATAATTCTTTAAATTGAATCATTTCATAATCATATGTATGTTCATAAAAACTAGCTATTTACAAACCACTTGAATAAAAAGTACAAATAATTGATTCTTATGATTATACATCTATGATAGTATTTAAAGAACATTATACTATGCAACTTAATATTGATTACTATGCACCTATGGAATCCAAACACCTGAATTAACACTCAAATCCTAAATACCATTCGGGTGTTTTGATATGTAAGTAAAATAAAACAACTTCTTTCATAACAATTAGGATCACCAATAATTTAAATAATAATGATATTAGATTATTTCGTTATTAATAATTTATAATTGAGTAATATATTTGTATTGTTTCTAGATCATAAATATGTAAATTAATAATTTACGAGTGATTGTTTAATTTTTCAACATAATTCGTACTAGGTATGTTATAAATTATATTATAACTTATATTTTAATTAAAAAAATAAATAAATTATAAACATAGAATATACATGAAAATTGTTACAAAAGGTGGGACAATAATTTACTTATTAATAATATTTGGCTCTAATGTGTCAGGTTTCTTCAATTTCTCCAATAATGATTGGGAGGAAACTTTGATTGTTGAAGATGTAGCAAAAGTTTTCTTTTTATCACACTGTTTGAATTGAAAAATTTTTCCAAATGGTACATGTTGTATGATTGGAAATTTTCCAAGAACCTAAAATAATAGTAGAAACAATTTCAATAACAAATTTAACAATAAGAAAATATAATATTACTTCTTTTTTATACATCTTAATAAGACCTTCATTAATTTTATTCCAACTTTGTACACCACTAATATTCCAGAGTTGGTTGGAATGTTCATGAAATACTCCTTTTTTTACTTGCATTATAAAATCAATACACCCCAAGAACATATATTTTGATTTAAACAATTGTACAACTTTTTCATCAACAAACAAGTTGGGATTAAGATCAGGGTTTTCTAGAATAAAAATCAAAAAAATTATTTTGAATTAAATGATTAGCACAACAGCAAGTAATATGTCAAATAAATTTTAAGAAATATATAACTTTTAGGAAACAAATTAAAATTTTATTATGTTCTATATTTTTTATAGGATTTCAAAACTTTTTATTATTATAAAAATAAAAATTAAAGTGGTTTTTAAAGGTTATAAATTGTCCACTTGTAAGATAACTACACTTTAAATATGCAAACAATTATATTACCAATTAACTGTGCACTACCCCAAATAAAAGGTACAAACTGATAATCATCCAAACTCCAAGCACCATGACTTCCAGCTGGTTCCATTTGATATCTAAGTTGAAGTCTTCGAACAATTTCCAAGTATCTATTAAAGTGAAAATGTAAACAAATATTTAATGTACAAAATAAAAACATATGAATACAATAAACTAACCTTGAAAATAAAACATTTACTGTAGCTTTACTATCACTCTGTTTTAAAATGTTAATTTTATATAAGCCACACAAAAACATGCAAAATGATAGTTCATGTCCTGTGCCATAATCAATACGAGTTGGATTTCCAAAACTATCAACAATATATGCTGTTAGTTCTGTAACATATTGTTGATCATCCAATAAAATTTCGTTTGACAGTATATCTGACAATCTCTAAAATTAAAATTCAAAATAAATTCACAACAAAGAACAAACTTCAAAATATATCATCAAACCATTTTTAATAAATTGTAAAATGTAGAAAATGCTTTATTTCCAAATCTACAGCTTTCTTTTAATGGTTCAACTTCTGTAATCCAATCATCTATCATGTTTAAAATTCTTAAGAACTTTTTAATCTCATCTGACAATATTAAAGTTTTATTCAATGGTATGGCAGTCACAGATTTATTCATGGCTGTTATAAATCCAATGTAATCCTAAAAATAAGGCATAAACATTATACAGCATTATATATACATTTATTTAAATTAGATATTGTTTTTATTAAATACTTAAATTTAAAAAAAAACTTAAATAAATAATTAAAAGTTTCACTTTTACAGAGTGCTGACATAATAAAAATTATTAATCTAATATTTAACACTTGATATGATTTTTAAACTGTAGTTAGGTGTATAGTTAAAATGTAATCAAAAGTAAATTGTTTTACTCAAAATAAATAAAAACAATAAATAACTAATTCCAAGTATCTCATAAATATTGATTTATGTAGATTTTATTCAATTTTGTAAGAATAAATAAATCAGAACCCTGTTACTACTTGTAAAATTGCAGAAGGGTCGGTATCTTTTGCTTAACTAGAACTAGCAATACTACAAAATTTGTGTTAACATTAATCTTGATTTATTCTTTTCAATGTATCATATAAAAATAATATTATTTATAAGTAATCAAATGTAAAAAGGGTGTAGGCAGAAATATAAAAAAACACAAGAAAAAAACTTACTAATAAGTAGGGCTCGGATTTTAAAGCAAATGCTTCTTTTTTTATATATGAGATAGAACTCTAATTTTTAAATATAAATTTGTTTCACATCTTTCTGTTTCTAAATAAATCAATTTATTTTGGCGTTTTTTTGTGTAAATGCTTTTTTTGCTTTTTCAGTTATTCCAGCTGTGGAGTTTTTATACATATGTGTATATTTATTATACTATAGTAATAAAAAAAAATAAAAATATTTAATTAATAACAAATGTGAAAACCCAGAATACAGACAAAATGGTTGTACTGGATTATTATTGTTTTCAGCTTCATTGTTAAATTTATTAAACGTATAGATTATCGATCTGCAGACAGTTAGATCATTGACAAAATATATAAATATTGTCTTAGACGCAAAAAATGTGTTAAATTAAGCTAATGAAGATATTGCAACTGCAATTTCGGGTAAACTAAATCGTGTTCTTATGAAAAACAAAGGCTGGAAACAATTACTAGACATTAATAATATACTAGTGGCATTTAATCAAACTAAATTAATTACCATAGGTTAGATTTAAATGAAACCTCTTGCATGAAGTATGTACCGATAACTTCAGTGGATGTAAAGCATTTATTTTCTTTGTATAAAAACATTCTGTCAGATAATGGAGACAGTTTTATAATTGAAAATCTCATAAAATACATGGTAGTTAATTATTTTTTTAATTTAATTAATTTCTTTTATTCAGTTTTATTACTAATTTGTGTTAATTTTCGTCATGCTCTTTTTTACGTTTTTTAAAGATAAATTTACTTTATTTTTGCTTTTTTAAGACAATTTTTTGTTATTTATTATGCTTTAAAATCCGAGCCCTACTAATAAGGCACTGACTAATTTATGTTCCATAAAACATACCTACTACTTAAACAATTATTAAACGTGATAATTAGTATTATAGAAATAACTTAGAATATATTAATAGATGAATTAACTGCTTCAGTTTTCACTTGCTTACATCGTATGCTTCAGATTTTTCCCACTCTTCAATGTCACTTTCATTTTTCACTCTGGTCTTGAACTCCATTCCACCTTTAACCGTGAAAACGTGTAAAATCAATACCTGAAATGTGTGTAAAAACACTATATATTATGTTGCGTACACACTAGACAGATGGATAATGTATGTGATTTTCTATTCGACAATGACCGTCACGTGTGCGGCAATCGGAAAAACAAGGGTTAAGTAAATTCGAATAAATATAATTCTAAGTACTCGAAAATGGAAAAACGAAGAACAAATCTGACCACGATGTTCCCAAATCCCTTAGTGCGCCTACTCGTGCGATACGTTATCATTTACAATACTATCGCCGTCGTCGTTCTTGTTGTTGTTATCAATAAACTTCGGCAGCAGCAGGTGAGAATTACAAAATTGAAAAACCACGAAGTATCGGTCAAACCCGTGCCGATAGTAAAGAAAACGTTCGTACATTAAATACGATTAAACAGGACGAGTGTGTTATCTGGAGTGGCCCGTAAATGTCATCCGTGTTTACTTTTTTTTTCATTCCTCTCCCCCCCATGCACGCAGCGAATCAAACAATAATAACAACAACAACCGCATGTGGTGGGGGACTGCGTCGTCGGTCGATCGCGTTCTTGAAGACAGTGGCAGATAACAATATAGACGCGATCGATTGCCGTCGAATTTGCTCCGCGCGCAGGGTTCGGAGTCCACAACGTTGAGACGTTTACCGTGTACGCTCCGGATGGCAGTGCCGAACGGCTTCCGAACGTACAGCAACCGTAAACCAAAAACAATCATGATACCTGTAAACGACAATGAGCGTCGCACAACATAGCGCCGTCGTGCAGACCTGGATGAAAACAATCGTTGGACCGGCGCCAAAATAAACGTTCACTTCTAGCCTGGTCGTCTGTTCGTATTTCCAGTTCCGCGTCGTTCTTCCTGCAGCCAACGTCATCAAACGGCTCGCAATGTATTGGACCGTTCATTTGTTCGGTGGTCCGCGACGCGTCAATCATGCCGCAGTTACCATCGGCACTAATATCTTCACGTTCGGCGGTTACTGCAGCGGCGTGGACTACAACACCTTCAGACCGATTGACATACACGTACTGGACACGGGTAATGACTAGGTTTGGAACTTGGACGAATATTGTGCGTCCAGTTTACTCGCTCATCATCTGGTCAATCCGATCATAATAATATTTATGTAAACCTTATGCACCTCCATTGCATGAGTTATATGTATAGTTAGCTATTACTGTTCAGATAGTAAGTCAATATAAATTCATCATCTCATCACTGTAATAAATACAACAGGTGATAGTTAGATGTAATAGATGTTTGTCTTTCTGTCCCCCGATAAAGAAACAAGCCTTCTAGAAATCAGGTTACTTATTGACCGTTGCATAGTGCTCTTTATGATTTACTGTGAATGCAGATGAATGCCTCTATTAAAGTCTGAATTTTAAAGAGATCTACCTAATTGTTAAATAATATATTTATAATTTATTTCTGTGGTTTGTCTTAATTTTGAATTATTATCGAGATTGATCAGATAATGCTGAAGTGACACCTTATATCATAACTTACTGTTAAATAATATGTTAAATAAACTTCCTTCTAATTCCAGTGAAATTAAAATGGTTGAAACTAGAACTTAATAATGACAAGGATTCTAAAAGTGTTCCATTTCAAAGGTATGGCCATACTGCTGTTGCACAAGACTCAAAAATATACTTATGGGGTGGACGCAACGATTCTGAAGTTTGCAACACTCTATACTGTTTTGATAGTGGTAATTAATATTTAAAATTTGGTATAAATTAGTCTGTATAGATTTATATAATAACATTTATTTTCAAATAAAATAATTTTCAATATCCTAATTGAATTCATTATCAATTTTTTTTTATTTTAAAGTTATAACAATCACTAATGTTTTAATGCCCACAAATTAATTCTTCATTTGTTAACTTTCATTTTTAACTATTTACCATGGTAATACCAGATTCCCTGTAATATATTGTTAGTTTTTATTGTAAAGTTACTTATGAAATCATTTGCATTTTTAAAAATATAATTTAACACTTTTTCATTACTTAAAAAAAACTCTTATCTATTGATATTGAAATTAACTATAGATAATGAAATTATAAAAGAATTATGCATGTTTAAAATAATGAACAAGTTGAGACAAAGAGAATAATTAAATCATCTCTAATTGTCTTGATTGGCATTCATTAAAATATTCTATTGTGGGTATATTTTCTATCCTATTATTTTACTCAAATAGTTAATTAAAGTGGATATTTTATTCAGCGATATCATATATTTTTATCCAAACTGGTTTTGTTATTTATTTGTATAACATAATAGCATTTTAAACATCTTATATATTAGGTACATTATTTTCTACTATATTTAAAATAAAGTCATATTTCATTTTAAAAAAAAATTATCTTATACTGATATTAATAATTTAAATTATTTATACTATAAAAATTACCTATTTTAATTGAAAATTTTGCCCTTATATGTTAAATATGATCAGTTAAAAAATACTGAATGTCATATTTTCTTTAAATTAAGTTTTTTATTTTTTCTAATCTTTAAAAGAATATACTTTTTAAAGATTTTATTTTTTAAATGCATAAGTATTTGAAAACCTAAAATTATTTATGCTTTAAAACAATGGTTCTCAACCTATTTACACCTCAAAGAAGTGATGCTTTAGTTTTAGAAATGTTTTGGTACTACTTGAGATTATATAAATTGATTTATTAATTTGATATTTTTAACTTAATTATTATTAATTATTATTTCTAACTTTTATTTTTTCATAACTATTTGCTTTACGTACCACTATTCATATTGTATTAGTGGTACAATAATTTACTGGTTGAGAATTGCTGTTTTAGTACATATAAATATTATAATCAGGGCCAAATTTAGGATTTGTAGGCCTCTAAACTCAAACTGTGGAGTGGGCTCTACCAGAGGGTTTTTAGAAAATAGGATAATTATATGCACAAATAGCCAAAGCCAGATTAGGCCCTGGGACTGAAATTTTATATTGGCTCTTATGACAATACATATTTTACAAAGTTGCTTGCTATGCTCGCAGAATGATACATTTTTTTAACTAGTTCACCTAGCTATTTCACATATTGTCAATTGCATTATAAAATTATAAGATTAATAGGTATAGGTATACAATTTATGTCTATAAAACTACTAATTTTAGTATGATAAAAAATGTGTATCGGCTTAAAATTATTTGGGCCCCTTTCACTTGGGTACTCAAGAGAGCCCCTGGCTAGACCCCCCCCCTTAATCCAGCCTTGCAAATAGCCCATCTATTAGATAAATTAAGCCCTTCTAAAGTATACATTTTATATATTTCTCTAAATTTACCTTCCCCTCAAATTATTTTTACTAATTTTAAAATTAATTTTTACCTCTATCGGTCGATTGCATAATAAATAATCGGATAATATAAATATTAGATTTTTATTATAAAGAAACAATTATTAATTATTATTTGGAGCTTAGACCTTTTTATTTTTTTTTTTTTGCTCATCAAACAAATCTCTTTGTAAAGACCTTAAATTCTCCTGGATTTCGATCACCAGGGACTTAAAATTTCAAATTTAGCTCACTTGTTTGAAAAGGTTGGCAACCTATTATTAAAAAGTGAAATTACTATAAAATATGATTTTTTTTAAATTTATAAATTTTATTTTAGAACATTTTCAAATAAAAATTTCACGATATGACCCTTGCACCTGATCAGCGTACTGATCAAATTAATGTGTGCCTCAACCTGTAATCTTTTCAGCAATCAAAATATTTGAAAACAAATTCTATATGTACTTACATGTATATTGTATACAGTGGCGCAAATAGGAAAAATGTTTAGGGGGGGCTCAAGCCCCAACACATTTTTTTTTAAATTATAATTTATAGGTACATAGTTTTAAGAATGGTATCTGTATTTATTGAATTTTAAAATATGTATTATACATAGTACATTTATGTAAATATATATATAATAATAGGTATATAACATTAAATATCATCAAATAGATATTTAATGTAATTGTATCCGTCTCTCGGTTTTTTCAAAAATAGTTAATATGTCTTCATTATTGATAGGAATGTCTTTTTCTATATTCATAATACTTAAATTGCTGAACCTATCTTGATTCATACAAGTACGCAACCATGTTTTAATACGCCGCATAGTAGAAAATGATCTCTCACAGGTCGCTGTACTTACGGGAAGAGTAATAGCTACTTGAAACATCTTACAAAAATTTGGAAATACTTTACCATCATATAATATCAAATGTTGTTTTATTTCCTCTAAACTAGAGTTTTCACCCAGAATGTTTTTTAAAACAGACATTTCAGACATCAGTGACTGATTACAAATTCCAAATAAATCCTAAACAAATATTAAACATTAGTTAAATGCTTGAAAAATAATAATGTATTTTACATGTACCTTGTAATGATCAATTAAAAATGAAGAACTTTCAAATTTCAATTTTAGTAAATTATCTACTGATGAGGCTACTTGAAGGCTTTCTTCAGAAAATCTTGTTTTTAAAATATTTATCATTGTATCTAATACACTATAATAAGCTTTTTTTTTCCAATATTTTTTTTTTGTTTCTACAATATCTGCAGTATGATATCACTAGCACTAGTTGTTGACAAACAAACAAAATCTTTGAGTTGAGATGGCTCTTTTCGTAATCTTTTCTTTGATACAGCTATAACCAAATAAATAAATAATTATAAATTACAAATTCAGTATTTTTATATTTTTTCTTACATTGCAAAGGAATTTCAAGAGAAATGTCATGTTTAGTGCTAAATTCAAGCATTTCATTCCAAAGTGTATTATAATGTTGTTCAGAATCACGATGTTCTTGTAAAGTTGTAATTACTCCAGTTATTAAAGATTTAGAATTACCCAGGGTTGCTGATTTTGATTGTAGATGATTTGATAGTATATGAATAATTTGTAAGACTTCCTTTAATATGAATAAATATATTACAAAATCAACAGACTTAATTGTTGAAATAATACCTAAAACAAAACAATTTAAATTCAATATTTTTCACTGAATAATAAAATAAAATATAGTTGCCATTAAATTATATGAATCTACATAAATCATACCAATTGCTTCAGCGACATCTTTATTTTTTTGAGCATCAATTTCCTCTTTTAAAGACTGAATTAATACACCATAATTTTGTATGACTGAGCTGCAACTTTTAAAACGACAGGCCCATCTTGTTCCACTTAACTGAACTAATGATTTTTTTTTTCAACCCAAGTAGATTTTGAATTTCATTGAATTTTTTATTTTTTGAAGGATATGAGAAATGTACGTATATCGCTTCTAGTCCATTAAATAATTTTCTAAGATACTAATTAAACAAAATACGATTTTAATTATTATAAATTATTAATTGGTACTAAGTAATAAAATATTATTCAAAGAAATAATAAATAATTGGATTACCTTCAAATATTTGCATGTGTCCACAATCACTAAATTTAATTTGTGTGCCATACAATGAATGTATATAGCATATGGATAAATTTGCTTAAGTTTAGTTTGGACACCTCCTTTCTGACCAGACATTACATTTGCTCCGTCAAAAGACTGGCCAACAATTGGAATATCAGATAAATTACAAAAACGTAAAAAGTCGATAATAGATGAATATAATGCATCAGCATTTTGTCTATATGATACATCAACAAATCCTAAAAAACGTTCTTTCACCTCTAAATTGTTTGTATAACGGATACAGATGGACATTTGCTCTTCTTTATGAGATCTGTATTCAAACACATTGCTATTTATTATTTTGAACTGTTACAAAATAACTAAGCATCATTCTTAAAAATATTTATTTTTACTTACCTGGATTCATCACATGAAATGGAAAACATGCCACACTTTTTAACTTCAGAAACAATATTATCTCTCACATATGAAGTACAAATATTTATTAAATCATTTTGAATGGCCCAGCTAGTATGGTTAGTTGAGTTGAAAATATATTTTTTCTCAAACTCAATATGATGTTTTGAAAACAACAAGCACAGCTCTTTAAAATTACCTTAAATAAGAAATTAAAATATTATACTTAATTTTTAAAGGAACACAAATCATTAAAATCACGAAGAATATTATTTATTTATCCTTACCTTTATTTAAAGCATCTTCATTTTCACGATGACCCCTAAATGGAAGTCCCTGCCGCCCAAGAAATATAACAATGTCAATTAAACATTTAATATACTGCCGATTTTTGTCAATTGTGCTCCTTGTAGGCTGTTGATAATTTGGAGATGATACTACCTTGTTTTAAAGAATTTTTATATTCTAACCATCTTGACATACAATTAATGTGATTAATTGTTGAAGCGTGCAAACTTAGTTTTGATTTTTTGGTCTTTGAATCTCTTGATCCACAAAGCTATAGACGATAAGATAAAATATTGTGTTAAATATATAGAAATTATTATAATAAAATTATGCCTATAATTTTACATAGTAGGTACATAATTAAGTTTTCATTTTATTTTAGATTCTGGACAAAGTGAAGAATGTATTGATTTTACTATGATGAGTTTTTTTTTTTTTTTGTGCCTGTGTACACTATAACTATTCAAAATAATTCTTCAATTTTGAACCCCATGATGTGTTTTCGGTAGCAAGTCTGATATCGGAGGTACCTTGAAGAGGTGAAAAGTGAAAATTCCCAAAAACATTCAAATGCGGCGAGAAAAACAAAAAAAAAAGTTATTTTTTATGTTTTAAATACATAGGTACTTCAACTTTAGACTAATTAGAATCTTAATAAGAATAGTTGTGAAACTTACTTTTTTCCAGTTCTTAAATCCTATTACAGTAAATGTATTTTCCGTTAGATGAGCAGTTCCAAAAATACGGCATGGAAAACAAAACACGCTATCTTTTCTAACACTATATTCAAGCCAATTAAACTCACTAAAGTAAGAAGGTGTAAATCCTCGATTTTGACTTCAAAATTTTGTCTTAGGATACTCCTTTTTAAACATTTTTGAAAATCTTATTTATAATATTAATATACATTTCAATTAAAAATCTACTTACCTTTAATATTGGCTGACGCGGTCCTGAATTTAAATTACCCAAATCAAGTTCATTATCAATATCATTTAATTCATTTTCTTCTGCAATTATACTTTCAGTATTTACTGCAGACGAAGGCGTAGGCGTATGTTCCGGCACATTTAGTTGATCATCATCAGAGCTTTTTTTTTTATTAAAAATACTAAACATTTTATTTTTTTAACGAATTTAAATTTATATATGATTATAACTAATATAAGTAATTCGTTTGAAACAACAATTATTTGTTTAAATTATTGTAATTAATTTGTTTATAAATTTTAAACGTGCTTTTGTGAAATACTGAAAAGTGAAATGGTTAGATTGAAATGTGAAATGGTCAATTTAACTGTCTGTGTGCCGACTGTGCCGGTAATCACTAATAAGTATGAACATGATACATGAACAAACCAGTATAATATTCGTTTGGAGCTATTTAAAAATGTTTTTGGTTTTCCCAATCATTGGCCTACGTGACTAATTTATCAAACATCACAGTCACTATCGTTGTACCGTTCATATTTTATTTAATAATAAGTAATTTTTTTTTTTTTTTTATTTATTATTTTAAAATGTTTCAGCATTTTAGGTGCTATTACAAGTACGGTACGTTATATTACATTAACAGTTGAAATTTAATATTTTACATTTATGTTAGTGATTACAATGGTATATAGGTGGTATATAGTTATAATGATAATAGTCAATAGTTAAGCTTGACATTATTTGTTGGTTATTCTTCGTCTTCTGATGAGGGCTCTTCGGTGTCTGATATGAGAATGTCTTGAGGTAGTCGGGGTCGCAGTCGCCTATTTTGGGTTTTCTTTCCTAGTTGGTAATGGCGGGCTCCGTCCGAGTCTTTCAGTTTGGTGGGAAAGTTTTTTAGTTGGGTTTTAATCCAGATATTTATTGGGGATATTCCTGTATCATTGTATATTTGACGATTCCTCATATACCAAGGTGCTTTAAGACAAATTCTAAGGAATTTGTTTTGGAGAGTTTGGATTTTTTTAATTTTAGTGTTTGAGGCTGCTGCCCAGACAGGGCAGGCATACGTTATAAGCGGTCTGATTATTGAGGTATATAGGAGGAGTGATGACTTAAGTTGTAGCGTTGATCTATAGTTGACTAGAGGGTAAAGAATTCTCATCCTTGTGTAGCCCTGTACGAGTTTTTTGTTTATGTGAATGTTCCAAGTAAGTTTTTCATCTAGGTGGACACCTAGGTATTTGACTGCGTCGTCTTTGTTATTTCATTGAATGACATGGTTATTTATGTAAATGTTTTTGGGGTTGGTATATCTTTTAAGGGTGAATATTTTAACCTCACTTTTAGTTGGGTTTAGATTCAACTTCCATTTTTTGAACCAGGTGATTATTTCATTTAATGAGGATTGTAGATTTTGAATTACTAACTCTAAGGAACTGTCTTGGGTGAGAATTGTCGTGTCGTCCGCAAACATTGCTAATTGAGAGTTGAGAGGGATTGGGATGTCGTAGCAGTAAATATTAAATAGGGTTGGTCCAAGAACAGATCCTTGGGGGACTCCAGCTTTGATTTGGTGTAGTTGTGAGAAGTCTGTTTCCACTCTTACTTTGAAAGATCTGTTGGATATGAAGGATTTGATAGTTTTGAGTAGGTATTCGGGGAATTTTAATATTTTTAATTTTTGTTCAAGCCCACTGTGCCAGACCTTATCAAAGGCTTGGGTTAGGTCTAAGAATGCTGCTGTGGTATATGGTTTTTTTTCGAAACCATGTACAATTATTTCGGATATGCGTTGGATTTGGTGGCATGTGGAGTGTTTGGTTTTAAATCCGAATTGATGTTTCGGGATAACGTGAAGGTAGGGTTTTATCCTATTCAGCAATATTCTTTCGTACAGTTTGGATAATGTTGGTAGTAGACTGATTGGTCTGTAGCTAGTGGGGGAATAAGTAATTTAGTACTAACTATATAATATTATTTAGACATTATTATACAATACATTAAAACTTCTGTAGTTCTGTCTATTAGTATTATTGTTTATTGTAATCCCGATTGTAATATTATTTTATTTTATAAAAGCAATTTTCTTATTAGTGTTAAGAAAAAATGTTAAGTAAAAAAGTAAAAAAATTTTAAAAAAACCGGTAAAAACGACTTATTAAGAACAATAACATTTAATATATATTATATTATTATTTTTTGAGGGGGCTTTGAGTGATTTTGGGGGGCTAAGCACCCCCAAGCCCCCCCCCCTATTTGCGCCACTGATTGTATACCTACTGTGTAGCAAAATAACATTATTATATTAATGTTGATATTATTCGTACTTTTCAGCTTATTTAATAAAATAGATTTGTTTTTCAATATTTTAATAATTTATTAATTTTATACTATTTTTGAATTTTTTACAAATGTTTTTTTTACACAGAAACTTTAAAATGGTCTACACCAAATGTATATGGAAAAATACCAATACCCAGGGATGGTCATTCCGCATGTATAATTCAAAATTGTATGTACATATTTGGCGGTTTTCAAGAACATCCACATCAGTTTTCTCAACATTTATATATGTTAAACCTTCACACTATGGTTTGGAGTATAATCAAAACCCAAGTATTATATGAATGTATTTTATTGTTTATTTATCATTATAATATTTAATGTGTTTATCATAGGGAAATTTTCCATCTTATAGAGATTTCCATACTGCAACTGCTATTGGCAACAGAATGTATATTTTTGGTGGTCGAGGTGATCAACTTGCACCAATGCAAACTGATAGAGAAATATACTGTCAGAATATTCATTATTTAGACACGACTACTAGAGTGTGGGTAACTCCAGTTGTATATAGTGAGAAACCCTTAGGTCGACGCAGTCATTCTGCATGTAAGTAGAAACTTTTAACTAAAAAACTTGAACTGTTATCCAAAAATAAATGTATTGTTCATATACTTAATGAATATTAATTACAGTTGTACACAACGGCTTCTTATACATATTTGGTGGCTTTAACAGAAACTTGGATATACATTTCCAAGATATTAATCGATACGACCCAGATAGTTCCACATGGTCAACAATAGTACCTAAAGGTACATCACCATGTGCTAGGAGAAGACAAATTTGTCAAGTGGTTAATGACAGAGTATTTATATCTGGTGGTACTAGTCCAGTTTTTCCCAAACCTTTACTACCTTTGAGGCTACAAGATTATGATCTTAGAGAACAAACTTTAAATCAACTTATAGACCATGACGATCTTCATGTTTTAGATATGAGTAAAATACTAGTCATTTTTATTATAATTTTGAAATTTGTAGTAACTAATTTTATTGTATATTTATAGATCCTAGTTTAAAAGATATATGTTTGGTAAATGCATGGAAATATATGAAAGAAAAGAAGATAAAAATAGTAGATCTATGTTTTCCTTTATCATTAAAGTAAATAATTTATAATACAGTTATTATTCAATGTATTTAGATATAGTGGTTTTTTAACAAATTAAATTTAAACATGATAGTTATAGTTTAATTTATTTTAAATATATTTCAGGAAGGATCTAGCTATCTTTGAACCATTTGAATCAAGTAAAACTGAAACTAACATAACAGACGATTATGAAGAAAATTTCCCTCTTCTTTCAGTTATTGATCCATTTCTTTAGTTCATATTTTGAACTAAATAACAAAGAAAAAAATGTACATTTTTATTTTTAGATTCATTGTATATTTTGATTAATAAAATATAAAAGTTGTTGTCTTACAATATTGATATTTATTTGACCATGTATACTTAATAATATATCTTGCTATTTGTTATTAATATTTTTAATTTTAATTTACATATAAATACTAATAATTTTTACTTAAATCAGTTATTAAAAATAAATTACTATTTTTATACCTGTATATGCTTGTATTCATGAAAATATTTAATATTTTTACAATTAAATTAAGTTTTCATATTTATTAAACTAATGCATACTTTTAACAACAATAAGAAATGTTGAGAAACAATTCAATAGAATTAAATTTTAAAAATATATGTGGTATATTTATTTTATGTAATAGGGTTATAATAATAAAAAATATATTGTTTGACATTAATTTAAAATAAAAGTAAATAAAAACAAAAACCAAATATATGATTATATCATTCGATTCATGAGACTGCCTGATCGTCTACAATTATCTATGTTAATTATTATTTTATTTTTATTTTCTATTGTAACATATAAGATATTGGTATTACTATCAAAATATATTATATTTGGAATTTAAATATTTGTTTAGCTGAAAAGTGGTATTCAAAATATATTTAAGGTTGGTGGAGGGGGAGAGGGACGAAGCCCCCCAAGGGTCTGTGTTAAATAATTGCGCACGTGGAACGCAGTTTTCAAATCGTTGGACTGAGCTCTTCTACTTAATTTTTCCCAATTTGAGCACTGTGTATATACATAAAGTATTATAAACTAATTACTAATTACTAAAAATAAAATAATAATTTCTAAAATCTAAATACTTAAGTCTAATTAACATGTTAATATTTATTTTGTTGATCTGGACATTGTTGAAGTGCACGTGGCCTAAAAATAAATTCTAACATGATCGACTCTGAAATCGTCCGCGATCGACCGTTTGGCCGTCCCTGCAATATAACCTATTTCATATGGTTATAATTTTTTTTATAACAAAACGGCCCTTACTTTTCGAATATGCCTCGTACATTTTAATTTTTTTTTTTGTTATAGGGAATACGATCTTTATTCAATTAATAGTCAATTATTTTTCAACTAACTTACCAGATCATAAGTCGTAGATGGTCGGAAAAGAAGCCCCACTATTGAATAGTGATTATTAAAATAATAAATTAATTTTTAGCAAAGCTCAACCAAACAAACGGATCTACATTAAAAATCTGTAAGTGGAGTGTTGCAGTAGGCCAAACATTGTTACACATTTATTGTAATCAGCTTATAACTGAATTAGTAAATACTTTATATCTTATAAGATATATTTATATATTTAAACGAACGCTCAATTCAATATGTCGATAGCTAAATTATTTTGAAAAAATATACACCTGAACAAGCACGTACACAAAGGGAAATTCAAACCCCTCCCAAAATTCTGAAATATTATTAAATATGTTTATACATAGTAAAATTTTTATATAAATTATATAATTATGAAAATTTACAACCTAAAACCCCGACCAAAATATTTTTTTGTGTACGCGCCTGCGTATGGGCCACTTCAAACTTTAATCATACCTATATTATTGCGTGCCAACCGATTGATAGAATAATCTCAGTGATTCACGCAGTCTGTTCAACGCTTGGATGTAGGTGGTTGTTGTAAATAATTTAATTAATGCTAGTTGTAGTAAAGTGATTTATTAGACTGTTAAAAATTATTCTAAGTCCTAATATTTAAACAATTGAAAATATTTAACTGCTGTTGAGATTCTAAGTCCAAATAATTAAACTGTTGAAAACATTTTAAATTCTTCTAAGTCCTGACCATGACATACACTGGCGTGAAGGTGCTTAGTGTCGCATAGCAAGAAATCGTCTGATTTACCCTTGTTTCTGGGTCCCTTATATATCCGATGGACGCAGGTGTGTGTGTAAAAATAAAAATTATAATTCCTTATTAATTCTGTGTGTGTGTGTGTGTGTGTGTGTGTGTGAGTGATATCTCCTGACTGACCAGTTCATAATTAATGACGCAGAGATCCAGGATATGGTCACTACCGTTCCGATAAACTATTTCTTATTTCAATGACTATGTGAACTAGTTACAATTCGATAAATAATTATAATAGAATAATTTAACTTATCTACAGTTGTGGTTTTGATATTCATAGGAACTCATTTATTATGTCATTGTTATTGTCTAACTACGCGGGAAACAAAAATATCATTACATAAATATTTTGTAATCTTTTTTCGAGGATTACTTAACATTTAATAAAAACTTGAAAAAATATTAAACTAAGAGTATTATACAACATTGTATGCTTAATCTCTAATACACTTTTGATAAATACAAATAATGTTTACATCTAATAATTGCATAATTCTTTTTACATGAATTTATGTTAACATTAGACATGTACTATACTGTTTTTTAAAACTTTTCCAGGAATTAATTTATTGATTACATTACTTAAATAATAAAACAATAAAATAAAATAAGATTTTTAAACAATTAAAATGTTTATTTTTATTGCATAAAAAATTTAAATAATTTTAAAAATTAATTATTAACCATTGGGTGATCTGTGAAATAGTTGTAACTACACATAATAATGTTAATATGAAATATAGATATTATTTATTTATTTATTTATTTATTTATTATTAACAATACGGGCTGAGCCCAATTATAAATATATATAAATATTTTATGTATATAAATATTTTTGGATTACATAATTACTAGGGCAGAAGACTTATAGCATTTGTATATTTTTTTAGCAGTCGCAAAAATAGCAGAGTACAAAACAAATGCATTTCATGTTTTCACAAAGTTAGTTTTGAAATTTATTTATTTATTTATTTTTATTTTGCATATAAATGCATATTTTGAGTTGTTTTAGTTTTTAGGGCATATTTCTTCCATATATACTTTTAGATGCATATTTAAATAATTTCATCAATATTTTTTCGTCAACATTTTTATTTGACCAAAATAATGTTATTTAATAAATAATATAATTAAATTCTAATGTAATTTTTTTTTTTTTTAAAGCGCCTTCTCGTGTAGTAATATTTAAAAATACAGCACCTCACACCTGATCTTTCACTTCCTGCAGAACCTATAACTAAATGGTTAAAATACATAAGCCCATAAATTCAAATAATTCAATACTTATTGTAACATATAAGTTGTATTTAAACTTTAAATAAAACCTATTCATTAAACTAATAGGTACTTACAAAAAAAAAAAGTCCATATTTTTTTTCCAAAATATTCATTTTAAAATGCATTTTTAATGCATATTATTAATTTTTAATGCATATTTTATGTATATAACTGTATATTTAGTGATTTTTTTAGAACTACAAGTCCTCTGCCCTAATAATTAAATATCTAATACAAGTATAAGAACATAGAGGTAAAGTTAGAAAAGTTAGAAAATTCTTTAGTTGTTTTCAAAAATTACTGTATAGTTTCCAGTTTTCCATTCCTCGAAAAATATAATATATATCAATCTATATTTAGTTAAATTAGGCCACAAAATGTAAAATAACACAGCTTTTAAATAAAATGTATTTAATATAGTAAAATTATTATAAGATATTAACAACAATTTTACATTATCATTATTCTACAAATAGTTATAACTAGAGAATAAAATTTAACCATACATAAATTATAAATTAAAATATTTATTCAGTAGTTTTATCTTTTAATGGCAGTTAAATTTTTTTTTGTGATGATCTTGTTTACATAGCATGTCATACTCTAATGAATGCATTTGATATTAAATACATAGCATATTAAATATAAAATTAAAATGGGTATGAATAATCTTTGAGTAAGAAATAACACTTAAATATATAAAAATAACAAATATAAGAGTAGTATATTCAAAAAATAAATATGAGTAGTTAAAAATTACAATTTTCAAAAATATATTTATAATTTACAAAAAGAAAAATCAATATTTCTAGTAAAGTTTAAAAGTATCAAAAAATAGTCATTTCAATAATATTGTTATACACAAATAAAATAAAATAAATAAGATATTATATTTTTTTATGGCCAAAAGTTTAATGACTAAAATATTGGTCACTTAAACCACCAATAAACAAAATTTATTTTTATATACTTATTTTAGGAACATTGAGATTGCCTCAAAATGAAACAATTTAATTTACAATGGATCTAAGACTGTGAAACTTTTATTTTTTTTGCTTACCCATAAGTAGGTGCTTAAAACTAGCATTATACACCCAGTCAAGGACATTGTTAGCCATACATAAGGCGTGATAATTGGTAATACATTTGTAACAATCAATAATTGGTCAGACACATTTTTTGGAACTTCAAATGTATCAGCAAACCAAAATACAGGTAAAAAGACTTCTGGCACATTTTTTAAAACTCTAAAAAAAGTAATAGTAATAAATTAATCTTTCAGAGTATATGTTTAAACAAATAAAATACAATTACTTTATATCCTTAATTGGATTCATTTTGACATTAAATTGTAATCTTGCTGCTATATGAAGAGGTATTGAATACTCCTATAATATAAAATTTTTCATTGAGATATATTCAACAATTAATATACATTTGAATAATGAATAAAAAATTAGTAACTTGTCATCAAATAAAAACATAAACTTACATTTTCTAAAATTATTTTAAATTCATGCAAAGTCTTATTGGGCTTCATGCCAATTATTGATTGTCTATATGATTCATCAGCTAAATAAAAATGTGGAAATGATATAAATATTGGGAGCGCATTGTTTCCACATAAATTTAATGATCGTACACCAGGTAAAAGACATCCTGATGATGGACAATAACATGTATTGTTAAAAACATCAGATTTCCCAGTAAACTCCATACTTTTTATACCATTAATAAACTTATAGTTTTTCTTTGTCAAAGTTAATGCACTAAAATAAAATATATATACATCATGAATGATTAATACAATTATTAATAGAAATAGTAGTATATTTATTACAACAAAAAGACATTAACTCCAATATATCATATGAATAAATTATTAACAAACATTTTACATAAACTTTAATTGAACATTTGATTATGGTTAACATAAATTATAATAAAATCTACTTAATGAAAAAAACACATTTTTTTTTTTATTTAAACTTAGGACCAACAAAGAAAAAAAAGTTTAATTAAGATACAACTGATAGGGCCCCAATCAAAGAATTTAAATCTTATTTTATTGTAAAAAAATTAGTGTATTTAAATCAGAATTCAGTTACCTGCAAATACTAGGTATATATATTGAAATATTAGATTGCATGGCAGTATGTTCTGGCCATAAATCACCTGCAGAAGCATTTGAAGCACTACAATCTTTATTAAAAACATTTAAATTTTCACTATAATTAACTGAATGTACTAATCCAAGTTTTTCTATGTTATCTACTCCAGTAAACATGTTAATTAAGCCATCAGCACTAGTAGACATATTCATCTAAAAAAATGTATAATTGATAATTGATAATTAATATGCAGTTGGTAAACAAAATAATAACAATTATAAATATATATATATTACACCGTAGAACCATCCCACTTTTTTGAAAGGTAAATTAATTGGAATTTGGGGAATGTGTTTTTGTAGTTCATCTAATATATCCAAAACAGGATCATGATAACCATCAAAAATAAATTCACCAGCAGTCTTTGTTATAAATGGCTTACTAATATTTGACATCTTTAAATAAAAATTTACTAGAACAAATATCCAATGATAATGGATTGCTTCTAATTTTTGACCTAAAATCTACAAAAATATTAACCCATATTAATATATAAAAATGTTAACATGTTTTATATCTAATTTACATTGAGTACAATATTAACAGTGGTAATTTGGTCGGACAATGAACCATTTGAAAGGATTTGATCAAATTGCCAACTTTTTAATTGCATATATGTAATTGTATCATTACTGTTAAAATTTGCATTCACTTTAGTACGGTTTTCTCTAAAACATAATTATATAAATTAATTTATTTTTATTTTTTAAATAAATGTATGCATTCAAAATAAAATTACATATTTTTATTAGAATTTTGAACTTCTATAATGCACTTATAGGAATTAATTTTAGTTTAATTAAATAAAATTAAAATTAAATGATTTTTTTTTATATACTTGAAAACATATGGTCCAAGCTGTTGCAGTATTGGTTTAGTTCCATTCTGCAATGTTTCTTCAGGATTTGTCCAGTTAAACAAATATATGCTCATGTTTAATGGTACAGGAATTTGTTTCCAATAGTCATATGTTTGAGTATTATTAACTAACTCAAGTTTCTAAAAAATAAAACAGATACTAAAATTTGAATTAATTAATAATTTAACCAATAATAAGTATTTGATATAATTTGATTTCTTATGAGACTTAAAAATATTTTATGAGCTAAAAAAACAAAAACTTACAAAAATATTCTTACTTTTAAATTGATTAATAACCAAAAAAATTTAAATTACTTTAAAGTTATTAAAATTTCATTAACTATTTTTTAAAAATTTTGAAATTAATAATTAACTCTTTGAAGCACGATGGGATAAAATATAACCCACCAAATTAGAAACCGTTGCTGCATGGTGGTACGAAAAATAACCCACCATTTTAATAATATTTTCTACCTTCTCTTAACAATTTTAATAAGAAATAAGTTAATGTTATGTTATAAATACATGTTAGTAGTGTGTATAATTTTATACTAGACATTTTACTGAGAATTTCCTTACTTTTTTTCTTTTTGAATATTGTGTTCATGATAAAATATATTTTATTTTATTTATAGATTTTAATTGACCATGAATTGCACAAAAATAGGTTTATTTTAGTGGTTTTCATTTTTACGTGCTATAAAACTAGTATTATTTATATTGATGATGGAAACATCATTATATACAAACCAGTTCAGACTTAATATTGAAAATAATCGGTGTACAAATTATAACCCACCGTGCTTGTAGTGACGGAAATAATCGATTTACTATAATCATCAAGTATATTTGACTATTTATTATTTTCAAGCCCTAAATGAATTGTAAACAATTAGATTTAACAATTAAATAATTTTTACAATCTATAAAATTGGTTTTTGTCAAACTGACGATGAAAATAACATTATTTGGATTTTAGAAATTTGGTACATTGAAAGTTGACAGTTTACAAAATCTAATCGACCGTGACGGTAGTGTTTATTGTGTGCATAATAATTATTAAAATGACTTCTTTGCAATTAAACGAAAATTCTATAGTTGACTGTCTTTACGAAGATTTGCCGTCAGACGATCAAAGTTGTACGACAGTAGATGACACAGATGATGATCAGGATTACTTACCTCCACAAAAGGCCATAATCGTAGTAAAAGATAATGAAGCTAGTGATGATATAGGTAATGCAGATGAAGATTTAGTAGACATACTAAATTTAAATGACAATGAAATTTTAAAATTACCTAGTCCATATAAAATTTATAAAAATATAAGAAGTTTTAATAAAAATATTTCTCGTTCATTATTTTCTTCCGGCCCCACGTCCAGTTCAACAATTACTTTAAGTACACCAGAGGTACTTTTACCGAATATTTCAAATAAAGATAATTCTTCGCAAATTCAAGTGTCTAATAATACCCAAAATAATGACGAATTCAATTTCATACCACCGACATGGTCAAAAAACAATAAATTTTCAATAAACCCACTATCCGATTTTATTGGAACAACTGGCCGTAGTGATTTAATCGACAAAGAACAAGATCATACACCATTTTCAGTTTTTAAACTCTTATTTTCCGATGAAGTCATTAATTTAATAGCAGAACAAACAAATTTATATGCCCAGCAAAGATATTTGAAGACAGGAAAATTGTATATAAAAACTACCAATCAAGAAATTATGACATTTCTAGGTATAAATATACTGATGGGTATAAAAATGTTACCTAGCTATAGAGATTATTGGTCATCAGCACCAGACCTTCACGACAGTTATATAAGTCAACTAATGACGGTTAATCGTTTTGGTTGGTTGCTGTCTACTATACATTTAAATGATAACAACATGATACCTAAAAAAAGTGAAATAGGTTATGATAAACTTTATAAAGTTCGGCCATATTTAACAATTTTAAAATATAATTTTCAAAAGTATTATAATCCTAACAAAATTATTGCAGTCGACGAATCAACGATCAAATTTAAAGGACGATCTACTTTGAAACAATATATGCCGAAAAAGCCTATTAAAAGGGGATACAAGGTTTGGTCACTTGCAGATAAAAAAGGATACTTATGGAACTTTGAAATATATTCAGGTAAAGTTGGTGACAATGTGGAAAAAAATTTAGGAGGTCGTGTTGTAAAAGATTTATCATTTCCATTACAGAACAAAAACCATCACCTTTATATTGATAATTTTTTTACAAGTTTGCCCCTTCTATCATATTTGAAAACGAAAGGAATAAATGTTTGTGGAACAATAAATTTAACAAGAAAATATTTACCAAAATTATGTCCAGATAAAAATATGAAAGTTGGT